GAAGCCAAACCGACATACCCAACACCGGCAAGCATCTAAATCCCTAAACAAAAGACCCTATTAGCTTAGCCCATTAGCCAACGTTCAAGATGGCATGATCCCGCTCATGAAAGTGAAAGATCATGTAGAAGGCAACTTGGAACTTCCTAAATATATGGTCGACCGAAGAGGGGGTACCATAAAAAATTATCTTCTTCCTCGCCTCCCAAATAAGGTACACTTTGATTCCCAAAGAGACTCTTTGCATCCTAGCTTCCAAATTATTCCTCCGGATGGAGAGGCCCCTAATGGCACTTGTTAGTGTAGACATGTTTCTTCTAATTCTCAACCATTGTCTAACCTTAGCCCACAAACCAGCCTACCTAAGGACACTCAAAGAATAGATGGAAATGTGATTCTAGAGCAAGCCTATAAAGAGCACGGCTTGTATCTTTCGAGACAAAGCCGAGGCGATCAATAGTTTTTAGCTTTCCTTTCGCCGCTAGCCATAACACAAACACATGCCTTGGCAAGGCCCACGGTTCCCAAACTCCCCTAGTCCAATTGACCATCACACCCATAGGTCTAAGATTTACATAAGCATTATGAGAGAATCTACCTTGGCTCCAATTCCTTATTTTTTCCACCACTCGAGCTCTATCCCCAAATTTCTTAACAAGCTCTGGTCCCTTGTGGATATAATTGCTTTCCACATGGGAGAGGCATTCCCGTGTGCTTGGACATCCCACACTATTTGATCTTACAAGTAGAAGTGATGGACCCATTGAATCCAAATGGAATCAGCTTTGAGATGGATATCCTAAAACCGTTTGGCAAGGATACAAGAATTGAGGGTTTTTAAGTCATATAAGCCCAAACCCCTTCCTTCTTCGAGTAACGTAGCCGCTTCCATGCAACCAAAACTCGAATGACATTTTCCGACATCCCCGATCCAAAGGAAATTCCTACAAATACCGGTGATATGAGAGATGACCATAGCCGTGATAGGAAAAATAGTAAGCCAAAACAAAATCGTACCGCCAAGATCGATCATAAGTAGCTCCACTCGACTAGCATAAGAGAGATGCTTCCCCATCCGAGGCTTGGACGAGTCGATTCCGGACTCGTAACAAAGGCAAAAACTAACTAACCAAGTAGCTCTGTGAGGACTTAGAGGAACCCCTGAGTATCGAAATGGAAAGATACCTTCCATGAACCCTATATCCTATAGAAGGACTAGCTTCAGTCGTTTCTAACCCCCTTAAAATAAATAAAAGATTTAGCCGCACCGATAGCAAGCCCAGAGGTTATATCGAAAGTACTCGACTATTGAGACAAACACCGAACCGAGGATCTATCTCTTTGGCAAAGAAGCATAACAAATCCACAAAAGCAATGTGGCTAATTTGCTGAACTCCACATTTCGGATGAAACCTAAAACCAAGCATAGCAGATGTGATCATAAGTATACGGGAAAAGTATTCCATACAGAGCTATGAAGAGGTATGGGGAAAGGGGGTCACCTTGCTCGATTCTCCCTTTGCTTGGAAAGAAACTAAAAAGGTCGCCATTCACAAGAATGGAGTAGGAGGGAGACTCCACATAAGTCATAACCAAGTGAACAAAGGCATTCGGGAAACCAAGCTACGAAGGAGATCTCTCAAGAAGGGCCATTGCACTAAATCAAAAGCTTTCTTGAAATAAACCTTCAAAAGACATCTCGGTGAAGCTCATTTCCTACCATACTGCCGCATAAGCTCCTGGAGCGAGTGAATATTATCCAACATCTTCCTACCTCCCGAGAAAGCATTCTGCATGGGACTTATAATATCACACAAAGCCTAAGCTAACTCTGGAAGAGAGAATTTTTAAAATCACTTTATACATAACATTGGAGCCGTATATTGGTCTAAAGTCCGAAGGTGATGAGGCATTAACCGATTTGGGAACCAAGGTAATAACCAAATGATTGACTTGCTTGAAGAGTCTCCTAGAGGCAAAGAAGTCATTCACCATAGTACAAAAGTCAGCACCAATGATATCCCAAGCTTTCTTGAAAAACACAAAGAATACTCATCCGACCCCGGGCTTTATCATTACCAATCCCAAACAAAGTCGCCTTGATGTTTTCATTGGTGATCAGGGCTAACGAGATATCGAAACACTAGGAGCAAAAAAGGCCCACTAGTAATGACCTCTACATCAAGAGGAAGAGTGTCCCTAGATGAACCGAGTAAATTCCTATAATAGTCAACAAAAATACCACCCACGACATTAAGAGAAGTGGTAAACCGCCTATTATTTCCTTAGATGGCCGCAATGAAGTTCCTCTTGTGGCTTTGGCTCATAAGAGTATGGAAGAAGCGGCTACCTTTATCGCTATCTTAAAAAAAACTTGCATTTTAGTTTTTTTTCGAAGAACATCTTCTCCGCCGACTTTAGATTAAACAAATTCAGCCTCAATAGCTCGTCTTGCTCTAAAAGGAAGGTGTTATCCCCGTCATTATGAAGAGCCTACCGGTGGTGCTCAAGGTCGTCACTGCTCGAGTAACCCTATCGAAAATATGGCTGAAATGAAGCTTATTCGCAGTTTTCAAAGGCCTCTTCAAATTCTTCAACTTCTTGCACAAAACAAACATAGGGCTACCCCTCGAAGCACAATGCCAATGCTCGTTCAACAATCTAGAGAAAGCCCTCATGATTAGCCCACATATTGAAAAATTTGAAGCATTTACGACCGGGAGGGGATTGATTAGCCAATTGAATCGTTGCTTGAGCATGGTTCGAGAAAGCTCCCGATGGGCCGAAATGGACAAAAGTGGGCTACTCGTATCGTAGACCAATGGGGGTTGGCTAAAACACTATCAATCTTAGTCCAAACACCGCCACTATTCCATGTAAAGTGATTGCTCGTATAGTTGAGGTTGTTAAGACCAAGGTCCAAACAACAAGAACGAAAGTCTAAGGTCTCATAGCTAGATACCGCCACACCATTGTTCTTGTCATCTTGTGAGAGGACCGAGTTCCATCTACGAAGATCAGCCCATAACTCCTATCTTTGAATGATTGTATTGTAAGCATACACAAAAGTAGCATTAAACCCCATCCGATGGACAAGGCTATTGATCTTAACATTCAACCCTTGTTCCGAAACATCGAGGAGATCAATCAAAACAAGTATTTGAATTCCAAAAAGAGCAATATGGGCATTGTAGGCCATAGTCGTATTGGAAATAAACCTCCACTACTTGAATTGAACCTCGTGCATTTGTGTAAGTTTGGAAAGACTAAGCTTAGTTTCAAGAAAAGCATAAACATCCATCTTCTTTTTTCTCATGAAGCCGACAACCTCATGTTGCTTTAGGGGATTATTTAGGCCCCTAACATTCCAAGTGAAAATCAACATATAGCCACGGAGGTGATAGGAACCCCCTAACACTTTTTTAGCACTTCTACTCCTTCTAATGGTCGCCCCTTGAGAGCTTTCGGTAAAACCATTGGCTGATTCCTCTCGCTCTAATAACCATGGCCGCCATATCAACCCTAGCTTGAATTTCATTACCAAGTACATCGCCTTCCTATCCCGCACCATAAACATTGTTTCGCCAGCTAGGCCGATAATCCTAGCACATAGACCGTCCAGCCTACTCGGCCAACTAGATCCACTCCAACCTCCCCCATGGCCACACCCCGACTTGGGCCAACCCCCAAATTGTCATTACCGGCTTCAACGACTTTACCTTTCCTTATCCGAGCCTCGCATTTAGGGTCAAGAATTGCTTGATTTTCCTATCGATTCGAGCATGCCCGGTCCGCTCTAGGTCGAACATGAGTATTCTACCGATGCCGAGCTTGGTAGTTCTCGCTGGGACTTAGCTTTGGCTTTCCCTCCGACTATCTCCTATGCACTAGAAGCGAGCATCGCCTCCAAACATATAGGCTCGTAAAGAATTTCTACTAGTAACACGATTGTGTTCATAGCAGATAGCGACAGCTCCCGACTTACGAAATACATTCACCTTGGCTCGATCTAAATGCTCGCCTCATGGATGACCCATTCATTAGCCAAATTCACATTGGTTGGTCGCTTACCACAAGAAGCGAGTAGAGTGCCCCAAAACATGACAAACCTTGCAATGAGTAGGTAGAGTTTTGTAGACGATAGGTCGAAGAAGAACGGAACCATTCGGTAGCCTAATTTTTACCATGCTCGGTAATTCCTCCATAGTGTTTAGCTCAACCAAAACCCTCGTATAAGAAATCCGATCCATAGAGGCGATCAATCTATCATACCGAATTGTTTTACCAAGCAAGCTAGCAATTTTTGAGAGGCATAAAGTGGATCGACATTTAAGGAGAAGATTTGGAAACTTTACCCAAATTGGCACCATCAACATCTCCTCACTCAAAAAATCAAAAAACTCCGGCATAGGCCTCAAAAGCAAAGGCCGACCAAAGATCAAGTACGAACCTCCATTTAACACGTATAATTTATCCTCCTTCGAGGCAAACTTATAAACCAGCCAACCCGAGTGATGAATAGATAATGAAGCCTCACATTTCCATGTGTTAGCAATAATCCCATTTAGGGCCCTAAATCCCGGGGATTTCTCGACAACATACCCAACCAAACAAAACTTCCATACTTCACATCTCGGGTCATCATCAAGCAATATGCAAGTTTTAGTATCGGTAATGGCGAGAGAAATGAGTAAGCTTTGGACATGATTTAGCACTACGGTTATTAGCAAATAAATCTCTCCATTTTTTAGAGTGGGGCTCGAAATTACCCGGAGTGGCGATAGGCTGGAAGCCGTGGTCGTCTCCTAGTGTAGGGCAAACCGTTCCAAGAGGTGGAGAGGCAAGCATCTCTTGATTCATTTCTAGTCACCTCATAAAAATTATGCCTACTATTCAACCGAGGAAGAAGTTGAGTTTGGGTAGTATCCATAACTGGAATAGCAGTTGTCTCTCAACAATGGAGAAGAAGGGCCAACAGGTGGCCAAATGTGAAAGTGGACCTCGTGGGAGCCGACCCAACCTCGGAAAGCATCTTCCCACCGACTTGTTCCTCAACACTTGGGTGATTCCTTTCCTCAACGTACTCTAGGGACAAAAGAAGGAGCCTTGAAAAATTTGGAGTGTGAGCCATAGTTTTCGACCGCATTTGAGCCATCTAAGCTAGCATCTTCAAAGGCCGAATCTTCATCACTTGAGCAATCTTTAACCTCTACATGGTCAAGTGGATTAGGTTGAGCAAGGTGTTTGGACCTATCGGCCATAGTTTTGGCGGATCCGGATCCGAGAACAGTAGCCATGCCGGATGGGGGAGAAGAAAGACCAAGCAGGGCGGCTAGGGCCAACACTTGATCATCTAAATCTCTCCTCCCACTTGCTTTTAGAGTTTTGGAACCGCATTTCTTCTTCTTCTGGCCATGAAATAGCTGAAAGAAAGGGTATAGAAAAGAGGAAATCGGGTAGAGAGAAGAGAGAATAGTGAACGAGTAATAACAAGGAGTAAGGGATAGGCACAAGAAGAGAGATCAATAGGAGAGGAAAAAGTAGAGGAAGACCCAAGCAATAGCATCGACCGGACTTGAGGGAAAGTTCTCCCTTGGAGGAGAGCATCTCTCTCTACTTTCTCACTCTAGGTCGACACACACCGAGAGCTTTTTTTTTTATCTAAATGTAATTATATAAATCAAAAGAAATAAAGCAGGGAAACTAGTAAGAGTAGCATATACCAAATATACATGAATTTGGGAATAGGTTCCCAAGAAACCAAAAGCAAAATAAGCTAGATACGTAAGGTTGTTCAAGGAAACTGGCATTAAGGATTCCAAGAACAACCAATAGAAATAATTGTTCTAGCTAACTCGGAACCATGTACAAGGGCTCTACAAAGAAACAAAAATTAGCCGAGAAGAGACCATAAAGAATGATCCAATAACTACAAAACAACTACTAGCCAAAGCCAAGAAGCAAGTAGTCGGCAGGGACGCCAACCTCGCAGCTACACGTGAAAACAAAAATCCAGGAGACAAGCCCAACATGACAAATCCATCGCGACAACCGGACCAAACATAGCACAAAACCCTTAGTGAGGCTAGCGCCACCAAAGCTTCGAAGCCTAACAACACCGGCAGTCTCTAAATCCCCGAGCAAAAAAACCCATTAGTAAGCCCATTAACCAACATTCAAGATGGTATGATCCAGCTAAAGACAGGAAGCAATAGCCGATAGGAACAAGTGGCAACATAAGCTACATAAAATTAGAGTTTAGGGAGGGAGGCCCAACAAGCCGGATAACCGGAACTTCCTAAAAGAGCCGAGAGCACCCAAGAACAGACTCGCAACAAGTAATGGAAGCCAAGCCAAAATCAAAATTGCATCTTCAAAAGAATCAAAACTAAAGCAACCACAATCCTATTGAAAGTAGAGTTGTTAGCCAAAATCCAACATAGTATGAACTTTTTCATGGTAGTAGAAGATCATATAAAAGAGAATTTGGAACCTCTTGAAAGTACTCTCTATTGAGTTATGGGTAACCTCAAACACTCTCTTGTTGTGCTCCCCATATTAGATAGACAATAATACTCAATGAAACCCTTTTCATTCTTGATATAAGGTTCTTCCTCCGGTATGATAAACCTCTAATGGCACTCCTAAGAGTAGACATACCTCTTTGAATTTTTAGCCACTCGCTTAATCTTGGACCATAAAGATAATGACCACTAAGAGCTCTTATTTTTTTTTTTTGATCTAAAGGTAACTATATTAAGAGATCAAAAAAAGGCTTGCTAGAACCAGCGAGCCCGAGTTTACATATATAAGCAAAAATGGAACATGCTCCCCAAAAGATCAAGGCTAGCAAAAGCAACTACAACCGTAACGGATATTCGGAGAATCCGACATTAATAGATTCGGTGAATAACACGATAAACGATAACCCTATATATGTATGAACAATAATATACATGAAGGCCCAAAAGCAAAGCCTAAAAATATTTTTTGGTAGGCTTGGAGCGACTCGAGAAATGACGAGAGCACATAGTAAGCAACCCTCAACAAGCGAAGCAAAAGCCAAGTATCTATGATCGACCAAAACCGAAACGATCAAAGTTTACCAAAGGTAGGCCGACTAACCCAAAGCCAAGATAGAATGGTCTCGTTTCATGATAGTAGAAGATCATATAGAAGAGAACCTAAAATAGTTAAAATATACTATCAACCGAGTTCGTGGCAGCCTCAAAGATGCGCTTGTTGCGCTCCCCCTATATTAGATAGACAACAATGCTCGAGGGAGACTCTTTCATTCGTGCAAGGAGGTTCTTACGTTAATATGGTGGTCCTCCGATGGCACTCCCGAGAGTTGGCATACTTCTTCGGATGTTAAGCCATTGCTTGATCTTGGACCACAAAGTGTTTGTCCAACTATAAGTAAAGAAGAGATGGTTATGGGATTCCTCTCGCTACCGACGAAGAGACATGTAGTATCTTCGGGAATGAAATGGAGACGATCCCTAGTTCTCGCCTTTCCACGTACAACCAGCCATAGCATGAAAGCATGTCTTGGTAGAGACCACTACTCCCAAATCACTCAAACTTAATTTACCTACTCCCCCTCGGCCTAAGCTGGTTATGAGCATTGTCGGTGAATTTTCCATCATTGCCTTACCAACTAGCCATCATGCCAATGATAGAGGCTTTACCTCCATATCGCACAATCAACCGATCCTTTATGGCAAGAACGGCCTTCCACAAGTGGCGAAGCATTGCGATGAGCCCGTGTTTCCCACATCGTATGGTCTTGCAAGTAATAGTGATGAACCCATTGGATCCAAATAGAATCGGTCTTTAAATGGATATCCCATAGCTGTTTTGCAAGAAAGGAAAAATTTCTAGCTTTTATGTCAAATAGACTAAGGCCCCCTTCATCTTTAGGGCGACAGAGATGCTTTTAAGCAACCAAAGCGAGCTACATTTACTAGCATCACAAGACCAAAGGAAGTTCCTAAAAATAATGACAATTTGGGAGATAACTCGAAGCAGTGGATGGGAAAGATGGAGAGCCAAAACTAAATTATGCTCGTCAAAATCGATCTCGGTAGTTTCAACCTCCTAGCAAACGAGATTTGCTTGCTTATCCAACTTTGGACCGTAGATTCTAGCCTTTGTAGGAGAGGGGAAAACCGACTAGCAAGGAGTCTATGGGGGCTCAAGGGAACTCCCAAATATCCGAAAGGAAGAGAACTTATCGTGAACCTCGAATCTTGAATAATAGCATTTTGTTGGTCGTCGTTGACACCCTCAAAGTAAATAGACAACTTGGTGGCATTAATGGCTAGACTCGAAGTCATTCTAAAAATACTTAGCCGCTAGGACAAGCATTGGACGTAATCCCTATCGCCTTGACAAAGCGAGAGGACATCATCAGCAAAAGCAATGTGACCGATACCGTGAGCACCACATTTTGGATGAAATCCGAATTCCTCCCTACTTGCCTAATGCCTCCCTTACCCGGAAAGAACCCAAAGTGACTACCATTGATCGTAATGTAGTAGGTAGCCGACTCCACACAAGTCATAACCAAGTGAATAAAAGATGTCGAAAGCCCAGCTAGAGGAGGATCTCTTTCAAGAAAGGCCACCGGACGGAATCAAAAGCTTTCGTAAAGTCGACCTTGACAGGGCACTTAGGAGAAGAACGTTTCCTTCCATAATGTCGCAGGAGCTCCTAGACCGGATGAATATTATCCGTCATCTTTCGACCTCCTAGGAAAGCATTATGCATGGGGCTAATGATGCCGAGTAAGGCTCGGGCAAGCTCGGAGGAGAGGAGCTTGGAAATGACTTTGTACACAATATTACAACACGAGATGGGCCTAAAGTCGACCTGGTCTAGTAGCATTGGACGACTTGGGAACCAAAGTCGTTATAGAGTGATTGATTTGCTTCAAGATTTTCCCAAAGAGGAAGAAGTCCCTAACAACGAAGATGAAGTCGGGGTCAACTATGTCCGAAGTTTTTTGAAGAGCGAGGAGGAGTAGCCATCGTGCCCTAGTGCCTTGTTATTGTCAATTACAAATAGACCATTCTTGATGTCTTCATCGCAGTACATGGATGAGCAAGTAGGTCTTTCACTCTTTGATCAAGGTAAGGCCCTAAAGTGATGACCTCTATGTCAAAGGGAAGGGATTCCCTAGCCGAGCAAAGAAGATTCTTAAAGTAATGAACAAATTCCTCCCCCACTGGCAGTAGTTGAAGTAGTGGTCCGGCCATTGCTACATTGTATAGCCACTATATAATTCCTTCGGTGGGTCCGACCCATAAGATCATGAAAGAACCTAGTGCTCGCATCACAATTCTTAAGGAACTTATATTTAAGCTTCGGCCAAAGAACGACTTTTTGTCGATTTGAGATTAACCACCCGAAGCTTCAACTCGCTTCTCGCATTCTAGGAGCTTAGAGTTTGCCCCGTCATGTCGAAGAGCTTCTTGGTTAAGCTACGGATCCGATTATGCTCTAGCCACCGCTTCCGAAATATGACTAAAATGTAATCTGTTTAAACCCTTAAGAGGCCACTATAAGAGTCTGTAACTTCCAAAAAGAATAAACATAGGAGAGCCCTATATATTTTCTTGCCAATGATGGCCACTAATATGAAGCAAGCTATCATGAGAGGCTCACGTGTTAAAGAATTTAAAGCATTTTGGTTTCGAAAGAAGTTGGCTATTCACCTGGATCGAAGCCACCGCATGATTAGAGAAAGCACTCGGAGGGTCGAAATGGACGAAGAGGGCAGCTAAAATGAGGACCGCAGTGGGTTGACTAAAACTCTATCTAATTTCATCCGGACGGTACCTCTATTCTAGGTATAGTGGTCGCCGGAATAGTGGAGGTCGGACAAGCCGAGTTCTAGGCAGCACGATCTAAAGTTCGAGGTCTCATAATTGGAAACCGTCCCCCTATTACACTTGTCATTTTGCGAGAGGACGAGTTGAAATCCCCCAAAATAATCCATGGGCACCGAGGAGTCCACTCGCGAAGATCATCCTAGAGCTCTCACTCGTCAATAATAGTATGGAACCCATACACAAAAGTGGCATGAAAGCTAACCTCGTTAAACAAGACTGTCGTTTCGGATATTTAGCCCTTGTGGAGAGGCAGAGAGCATATCAATCAAGACTATTGCAGGATTTAAAAAAAGAGCAATACGGGCATATGGAGCTACATCAGCATTCGACATAAAGCTCCAATTCTATAGCCGAAGCTTGTGCATTTGAGCAAGCTTTAAAGAGCTAAGCTTTGTTTCGATAAAAGCACACACATCCATTTTCTTTTTCTTTATAAGGCCGACTACCTTATATTGCTTCGTGGGCCGTTAAAACCCCCGACATTCCAACAAGAAATTAACATCAAAGGGCGGGGGTGGCGCCCACCCGACTACCTCCACCCCTAGTCCGCATTCTCCCACTCCGAGTGGGAATTCGTCGGGAGGCCCTATCAAGCCTCGTACCCTTACAGCTTTGTTCTCCGCCCTCGCGAGTGTTGGAAGGTGGCCCCTTTGCATCGCTATCACCGACATTGTGAATGCCTATTTCAATTTCTGCCGGTATTTGAGCCACATCCAATCTATCCATGTCCACAATAGTATCGCCACTAAGGCTAGCAACCCTATCATTTGGGTCGCTTAGCCTACCGTGGCTCCTATCATTGTCATAAGTAGCCCCCATCCCAGCCGTAGATACCTTACCTTTTTGTGTACCTTGACTCGGGACTCTTACCGGAGTAGATTCGTAAAGACCTTGCGGTTTTATGGGCTTCGATTTTGCCTTATAGACTTATTATGGGTTGGTTCCCACCGTTGGAAGCAACAACAATCTCGAAGTGCATGGGATCATATCGCTCGGCTGGTGCAGGAGCGAAGAAGCGACAACAGGCAGGATTAAGCCTTTGTAACACATTGAACCTTGACCGATTTTCCCCAACCATTGCAACATCGAGCTTCTTGGTATTCACGACATGAACTGGGGACATTTTCTTACAACCCGAAGTAGAATGCCCCAAAGACTCGATAAGTTTTACAATGAATTGGTAATATCTCATAAACCACGAGTTGGAGAAGCTTGGACCCATTTGGTAGAACAAAGCCGATCATCCCCGGTAGGTCATCCATAATGTTCAACTCTATTAAGACTCTAAGCATACGAGATTCTATCCATAGAGGCCGTCAACTTGTCACAATGGATTGGTTTACCAAGCAAACTTAAAATTTTGGATAAACACGCAAGTGGACCAGACATTTGAGGGGGAGATTGGAAAACTTCACCCACACCGGAACCGTGGACATATCCCCATGAGAGAAATCAAAAAATTCCGGCATAGACCTCAAAATCAAAGGCCTCGCCATAAATCAAGTATGGACCTCCATTCAAAACGATCAGCTCGTTCCTCTTTGGAATCAAATTTGTAGACTAACCAGACTTGAGTCATGTATGGACAAAGTGGCTTTACATTTTCTTGAGTTGCTTATAATGGCACTAAGAGCCCGAAAGCCTAGAGATTTTCCAACAACATAACCAACCAAACATAGTTTCCACAAATCACATTTAGAGTCCTCATCTAGCAAAGTACACATTTAAGTTTTCGTAATACATGAGAAGTGGGTGAGTTTAGGACAAAACTCGGGATCGCGCTTGTTAACAAATAAATCCTTCCATTTACTTACTTGGGGTCACCAGCCGTCGAAGAGGGGCCTGCTTTGCCACTAGCAATGACGAAGTGGATGGAAGAATTGCATCCTCGAGAAGGCTTGGGACATTGGCTCCTTGAGATAGGCCATTCAATCAAGTGCCGTAGCTATCACTAGTGAGCGAAGGGTGTCCGAGGCCCTAGCCTTAGGGGAATGCTCACTTACAGTGTCCGTGCTAAACAGTGGGGTCTGAATAGGTACTAATTTGGCAAGAGTCAATAGCTTCCCTAGAACCCAATACAGGAGGAGTTGTTTTGAGGAACTTTGACCGAGAGGCTTGCTCCCCATCCGAATCCGAATAATCCACTTCTTCCTTATTATAACCTTCCTCTTCCAAATAGTCCTCAACCTCTACAAAATTATAGGTAGACTTTGGGGCACGAGATTTGTGAAGGGGGTCCGTTGGAAGTGTCACGTTTGCTAGCTAGGGTTTGGTCCGAGAGGGGAGAGGGGGAACCAAATCATTCGGAGGAGGGACAAAGTGCGGATGGAGCTTTGAGGGCAATGATAGGATCCTCGCAGTCACACCTTATAGCAGACCTTAGAAGGTTTAGTACCGCATTTCTTTTTCTTCTTTACCATTAGAGAAAAGGATAGCGGGATGGGGAGAGAGAATGTGAGGAAATAAATGACGTGGGGAGAAGGATGAAGGTAAGGAACTAAGTGTGGAAAAGAAGGTTAGAGCATTCCAAGTAGTAGCAAGGCAAATCTGGAGGGAAAGAGCTCCATGGAAAAAGGAGATCGTCTCTGTCTTCTTTCTTACTCCCGACTTTTTTCTACACCGACTAACCGAGAGCTCTTTACCACTAAGAGCTCTTTCTTCTTCTTCTTTTTTTGATCTAAATATAAGTATATAAATCAAAATGGAACATAGCTGGGGGACCAGCGAGAGTAACATTTATAGGCTATACAAGAAATTGGGAACGACCTCCCAAAAAACCAAAAGCGAAAGAAGCTAAAGACAAAAGGTTGTTCAGGGAAACTCGTATTAGAGATTCTAAGAAAAATCGATTGAAAACAATTGGACTAGCTACGTAGAACCATGTACAAGGTCTCTATAGCAAGCAAAATATAGTTAAGGAGAGACCGCAAATAATGATCAACAACTATAAAAGCATATATTAGCCAAAGTTAAGAAGCAAGAGTCGACAGAAACGAGTAGCAATAGAAGCTAAACAAATTAGAGGTCCGGGAGGCGAGTTTAATAAGCCGAATAAGCATAGTAAGCGATGCCATATGCATCCTTAAACCAAATAGAGGTTAGCACTAGTAGATAACTAACATCCAGAGCTAAGAAGCAAGCGTTGGTAGGAAAATATCAACAGGAGTAAAAGCAATAGAAACTACACAAAGCTAGAGGTTCGAGAGGCAAGTCCAATAAGCTAGATTCATCTTAGCAAGCGAGACCATATGTATCCTAAAACCTAAAGGAGTTGAGCACCAATAGACCACTACCGACCATAGCCAAGAAGCAAGCGCTAGCAGAATGACGAGCTGTAAAAATAGGCCAAAGCCAAGAAGCAAGAGCCAGCAGATACAACGAAGCATCATAAGCTCTTTAGAAACATAGGTTAGCCAGTGCAACAATAGTAAGCCGAGCCTCCGTGGCCATTAGACTAGATGCATCCTAGAACCCAAAGGAGGTTAGTGCCAGCAGACCATAAACTAAAATACCGACAAGCAACGGTAACCCCGAAGGCCCAGGAGAGGCCAGTTGAGTAAGGACCCATTTGCACAACCCATTAGCCAACATTCAAAATGGTATGATCATTCTTGTGAAAGTGAAATATCATGAAGAATAGAATCCGGAACTTCCCGAAGATAGAGTCCCTAGCAGATGGGGTACCATAAAAAATTCTCTTGTTCCTTTCTTTCGAAATTAGGTATACTCGTGATTCTCGGAGAGACTCGCACATCCGAGCTTCCAAATTATTCCTCCGAATAGAGAGGCCTCTAATGGCACTTGCTAGTGTAAATATGGTTCCGTTAATTTGTAACCAATTCCAAACCTTAGCCCACAAACCGGCCATCCAAGGACTCAAAGAATAGATGGCTATGCGATTCTATAGCAAGCCTACAAAGAGCACACTTGGGATCATCCGAGACAAAGTGATGGCGGTCAATAGTTTTTAGCTTACCTTTAACTCGCTAGCCATATCGTAAATACATAACTCGATAGAGCCTAATGTTCCCGTACTCCCGGTCAAGTTGACGAACTCACCCTCGTGCCTAAGATTATCATAAGCATTACAAGTAAATTGGCCTTGGCTCCAATTTCCCACCATTACAACCACACAAGTTCGATCTCTAAATTTTCCAACAAGCCGATCACGTGTAGATACAATTGCTTTCCACAAGGGTGAAGTAGTCCAGGGAGCTTGAACATCCCACACCATTTGGTCATGCAAGTAGAAGTGGTGTACCCATTGAATCCAAATTGAGTCGGCTTTAAGATGGATGTCCCAAAGTTGCTTGGCAAGGAAACAAGAATTTAGGATTTTGAGATCGCATAAGCCTAGATCCCCTTCCTCCTTAGGGCGACAACGATGCTTCCAAACAACTAATGCCGAGTGGCTTTTACTCGCATCCCCGAGTCCAAAGGAAATTCCCGCATATGCGGGTGATAGTAAAGAGGACATTAGCTAGGATAGGTAAGATGGATAGCCAAAATTGAATTAGTCGGGATCACCCCGCCGGATACCACTTTTGCTTAGAAAGAAACCAAATAGATTACCGTTAACAACAATATAATGGGAGCAAGATTCCACACATGTCATGACCAGATGAATAAAGGCAGAGCGAGAAACCAAGCTACAAAAGTAGATGTCTCAAGAAGGGCCACTACGCCGAATCGAATGCTTTCTTGAAATCGATCTTCAAAAGACATCGCAGGGAAGCCCGCTTCCGACCATACTACCGAAGAAGCTCCTCAAGTAGGTGAATGTTATCCGACATCTTCCTCTCTCCCAAGAAAGCATTCCGTATGGGGCTTATAATCTCAAGCAACGCTTGGGCTAATCTGCAAGAGACAAGCTTGGAGTTGACTTTATAAACAACGTTACAAGCAGGATATCGATTTGAAATTAGTTGGAGAAGAAGCATTATCCGACTTAGGAATCAAGGCAATGACAGAATGATTGATTTGTTTAAGGAGGTCGCTAGAGGTGAAGAAGTCCTTCACCATTGCATAAAAATCGATGCCCATAATATCCCAAACGCGTTTGAAAAACAAAGAAGAATACCCATCCGCCCCGAGGCTTTATCATTACCAATCCCAAATAGAGTCACCTTGATGTGCTCATTGGTATCGTGGGCTAGCAACAACTCGAAGCACTAGCATCAAGATAAGGCCCAATAGAAACAATTGTTACATCAAGAAGAAGAGTGACCCTAGATGAACTAAGCCGATTCTTAAAGTAGTCAACAAAAATTCCCCTCACGGCCCGAAAAGAGGTGGTATACCGCCCATCATTGCCCCGTATGGCCGTAATAAAATTCCTCTTGTGGCTTTGGATCATAAGAGTGGAAGAACGGATCGCCTCTATCACCGTCCTCAAGAAACTTGCATTTGAGTATCCGTGTGAACTACATCTTCTTCATCATCTTGAGATTAACCAAAGTTAGTCTCGAAGCCTCTCCTACTCGAGAAGAAGGGTGTTATCCCTATCATTATGAAGGGCTTGTTGCTAATGGTCCAGCTTCCTCCACTGCTCGGGCAACCCTTTCGAGATGTGGTCGAAGTGAAGTCTATTTAGATTTTTTAAAAGCCCTTTCGGGAGCTTCAACTTCCGACACAAGACATACATAGGACTTCCTCCGCAGTCACAATGCTAATGTTATAAGACCGTATGATGAAAGCATTCATGATTAGCCCACATATTAAAACATTTGAAGCATTTTTGGCTTAAGGAGGTCGGTTGTCCAACTTCATCGAGGCCGGAGCATGGTCCGAGAAAGCTCCCGGTGAGCCGAAATGAACAAAAGTAAGTCGTCGAAGTGTAGACCAATGTGGGTTGACTAAAACACTATCTATCTTCCAAACACTCCTATTAGCCCATGTAAAGTGACTACCCGTGTAGTTGAGATCCGTAAGACCAAGATCCAAGAAGCAAGTATGGAAGTCCGAGGTCTCATATCTAGATATCGTAATACCATTATGTTTGTCGTTCGTGAGAGGATCGAGTTAAAATCCCCAAGGACAAGCTAAGGGCTATGAGGGTTCCATCGACGTCATCCCATATCTCCCTTTGTTGAATAAGAGTATTACATCCATATAGAAAAGTGGCGATAGAATCCCATTTGGTGGACGAGGATACCGATTTTAACATGCAGCACTTGGGCAAAAACAGACTAGTAAATCAATCGAAACAAGAGTCGGATTCCAAAAAAGAGCAATATGGGCATTAGAGGCCATAGTTGCATTAGAGATAAACCTCCATCGCTTGAATCGAAACCCGTGCATTTGCGTGAGCTTGGAAAGGCTAAGCTTGGTTTCAACAAAAGTACAAACATCTATCTTCTTCTTTCTCATGAGGCCAATAACCTCATGCCGCTTTAGGGGACTATTTAGACCCCTAACATTCCAACCGAAGATTAACATACAAGTAGGAGAGGCTAGAACCACCTTAGCACCCCTTTTAGTGCCCCTACTCGACTTCGAGTGGTCACCCGTAGAGAGCTTTTAGTAAAGACGTTGGTCGCTTGCTCTATGCTAATGATCATGGCCGCCACATCCACCCTAGCCGCATTAGCAGTATCCAAAACATTAACTCGCTCGACCTCTACAACCCACATCAACACCGTGGTTTGGGCCGACCCTTATCCTAGTTTCACCAGCCTTTTCCTTTCCTTTTTGGGTTGTCGTTTCGGGTCTAGAACTACGAGAGTAGCTCGTCGAGATCGAGCTTCGTCGAGGTTGAGTAGAAGTATTCGTCCGAGGCCGAGCTTGGTAAGGTCGTCGAGTCCGAGCTTTAGCTTAGCCTCCATCTATCACACACTCCCTAAAAGTGGCAACCGCCTCCAAACATATAGGGTTAAGTGAATTAGCTACCGGCAAAACAAGTGAGGGTCCTAGAAGCAACATCGAGTCGTAACCTATGAAATACACTTACCCCGGCTCGGTCCGGATGCTCTACCTTAGTTACGGCTCTCGGTAGTGGCTCGATTCACTACAGCGAGTCACTTACCACAAGAAGTAGTAAAGTGCCTTGAAACTCGACGACTCTTCCAATGAGTAGGTAGAGTTTCGTACACAACAGGGTGACGAAGATCGAAACCATTGGGAAGCCTAATGTTTACCATTCTCGGTAGTTCCTACATGGTATTTAGCTCAACCAAAACTCTAGCATAAGAAATCCTATCCATAGAGGTAGTCAATCTATCACACCGAATGGGTTTACCAAGCAAGCTAGCTATTTTTGAGAGGCATAGATTCGACCAACATTTAAGGGGGAGGTTAGGAAATTTCACCTAAATTGGCACCATTGACATCTCCTCACCGGAAAAGTCAAAGAACTCGGCATAGGTCTCGTAGCAAAGGCCGACCAAATACCAAGTATAGGTCGCCATGTAACACGTATAATTTGGCCTCCTCCGAGGCAAATTTGTAAACCAACCAACTCGAGTCATGCATAGATAATGTAGCTTTATATTTCCATGTGTTAGCAATAATCCCCTATAGGGCCCTAAATCCTAGAGATTTTCCAACAACATACCCAACCGAACAAGACTTCCATACTCACATTTCGGTCATCATCAAGCAATAAACAAGTTTTAGTATTAGTTATATAAGAAAAATGAGTGAACTTTGGACATGATTTAGCACCACGATTAGTAGCTAATAAGTCTCTCCATTTGCCAACATGGGGCTTAGAGTTACCCGAAGTGGCGATAAGCCGAGAGCTAGGTGTGTTGCTCAAGGAAGGACAAGTCGTTCCAAGTAGCGGGAGTGGTAGCAACATTGGACCCATTTCTAGGAAGAACATCAAGAATATACCCATTAGTTAGCCGAGGAAGAAGCAAAGCCGAAGTAAAATGCACACTAGTAATAGTAATCTCTATCGCCAGTAGAGATCAAGAGGTGTCCCGAAGAATTTGGACTCGTGAGACCGACCTCCCCATCCGAATCGAAGAATCGACTTCTATCTCAATGGAATCTGCTCCTTCCGAACAATCCTTAACCTCCACACAATCATGTGCGAGCTAGGTCAAGAGAATGGTGAGGGGAGATATGTTGGAAATGCTAATTTCACCGCCTAGGGTTAGGCCCGAGTGGTGAGAGGGCGGAACCGCATCATTTAAAGGATGATCAAAGTGGCATAGGAGCTTCTAGGGCTATGATTGGAGCCACAAGTTTTTATCCTACGAGTAGTATGTGAGGGTTGAAAAGCGATTTCTTTTTCTTTTTTTCCATTAGGGAAAAGATGGGTGGGTTAGTGATAGAGCAAGGAAGAGAATGGTAGAGAAGAGGAGGGAAAGTGAATACGAAGAAAGGAGAGAGGGGGAAAAGCTAGAACATTGTGGAGGTTTGAAGGGAAGAGCAGCCCGAACAATAGCAAACCCTACCGAGAGGGAAAAATCTCCATGAGAGGAGGAGAGCGTCTCTCTCTACTTTCTCACTCTAGGACGCACTTGAAGATCTCTTTCTTTTTGATCTAAAGGTAAGTATATTAAGAGATCAAAAAAGGCCTCGCTAAAACCAATGAGCCTAAGGTTACATATACAGAGAAAAGGGAACATGCTCCCTAAAAGAACAAGGCTAGCAAACGCAACTTAAACCAAAAGGGATATTCGGAGAATCTATCATTAAAAGATTCGATGAATAACCCAACAAAAAAGAACCCTATATATGTATATGAACAACAATTTACATGAAACCCCAAAAACAAAACCTAAAAATAGTTGCTCGGTCCGTCCAGGGCACTCGATAGATGCCGAGAGTACACCAAAATAGCCCTCCACCAACTCGTAAAAATCGACCATCCATGGCCGACTATAAGCGCAATGTACCGCAGTTCACCAAAAGTATGCCAACTAACCTAAAGCTAAGAGATTAGGATCAGCTTCATGATAATAGAAGATCTAGAAGATTATCTAAAAGCGACGGAATGTACTATCCACCGAGTTCGCGACGAGTCTCGAAGATGCGCCCGTTGCACACCCTCCATATTAGGTAGAAAACAATGACGAGTTAGACTCTTTTCATTCGGGCAATGAGGTTCTTGTGCTGGTATGGTAGCCCTCGAATGGCACTCTTAAGAGTTGACATACTTCTTCGGATGTTGAGCCGATGCTCGGACCTCGGACCACAGAGAGCTCGTCCAATGGCAAGTAAAGAAGATATGGCTCTTGGATTCTTTTATATGCCTACGTAAAGGGCCGAAGCATCTTCGAGAATGTAATGAAGATGATCCTTGGTACGAGCTTATAGCAGACAACCGACCATAGAATGAAAGCATGTCCGGGTAGAGACCACGACTCCCAAGTGACCTGCACCCGGCTTACTCGCTCCCCTTCGCGTAAGATGGTTGTAAGCATTGCCGGTGAATGTTCCATCTAAGCCTTGCCAATTGGCCATCATTCCAATGACAAAGGCTTTGTCTCCATATCTCGTGATCAACCGATCCTTTATGGTAACCACAGCCTTCCACAAGTGGGGAAGCATCACAAGGGGCCGTGATTCCCACACCGGTGATCTTGCAAGTAGTAATGATGGACCCATTGGATCTAAATTGAATCAACCTTAGAATGGATGTCCCATAATTATTTGGCAATGAAGGAATCATTTCGAGCTTTGATGTCAAATATACTAAGGCCCCCTTCATCCTTAGGGCGATAGAGATGCTTCCAAGCAACCAAAGCAAAGCCGCATTTTCTAAGCATCACCAGCCTAAAGGAAGTTTTGACAAGAAGTAACAATTTGAGAGTTAACCGAAGTGGGAATGGGAAAGGTGGAGAGCTAGAACTTAATCATGTCAGCCAAAATAGATTTTAGTAGTTCTAACCTCTCGATAAACGAGAGGTGCTTGCCTATCTAACTTTGGACTCGTAGATTCTAACCTTTGCAGGAGATGAGAAAACCGATCGGCAAGGAGTTGGTAGGGACTTAGGGGAACTCCTAAATATCGAAAAGGAAAGGATCATGCCCCGAACCTCGAGTCTTCAAGGATAGCAATCCGCTAGCCGCCGTTGACGCCCTCAAAGTAAACCGACGAATTGTTGGTATTAATGGCAAGACCCGAGTCCTACCAAATGTATTCAGCTTTGGGACAAACATCGGATAGAATCACGATCACGTCGACAAGGAAGAAGTACATCATCAATAAAAGCAATGTGACTAATTTCGAGGGCATCACATTTTGGATGAAATCGAAGGCATCCCTACCGGCAACTCGCGTAAGCATTCATGAGAAATACTCCATACGTACTAGAAAAAGGTAGGGGAAAGGGGATCTCCCCGTCGAATACCTCCCTTACTCGAAAAGAACCCAAAATGACTACCATTGACTACTATAGAGTAAGTCGCTAACTCCACACATGTCATAACCAAGTGAACAAAGGATGCCGAAAAGCCTAGCTAGAGGAGAAGTTCTTTCAAGAAAGGGCACCGAACCGAATTGAAAGCTTTGGAAAAATCAACCTTGACAAGGCACCTAGGGAAGAACGCTTTCGCCATAATGTCACAGGAGCTCTTGGACCGGATGCATATTAGCGACCATCTTAAGACCTCCTAGGAAAGTATTCCGCATGAGGCTAATGATGTCGAGTAGGGCATGCATCAGCCTTTTAGAGAGGAGCTTGGAGATGACTTTGTACACAACATTACAACACGAGATAGGCCTAAAGTCACTGGTTGAGTAGCATTGGGCAATTTAGGCACCAAAGAGATTATAGAGTGATTGATTTGCTTCAGGATTTTCCTAGAGAGGAAGAACTCCTTAACGACAAGCATAGAAGTCGATGCTAACTATGCTCCAAGTTTTTTTAAAGAACATCGAGGAGTAGCCATCAAGCCCCGGTGCCTTGTTATTATCAATAGCAAATAGAGCCGCCTTGATGTCTTCATTGCCGATAGGGGCGAGCAACTGGTCCTTCATTCCTTGATCAAGGCATGGCCCCGAACCAATAACCACCGTGTCAAGAGGGAGGGTTTCCCTAGCAGAGCCAAGAAGTTTCTTAAAGTGAAGAACAAATTCCTCCCCCACCACGAAGCGAAAGTAGTGGTCCGGACATTACTACCTCGAAGAGTCGCTATGTAATTCCTCCGATGGTTCCGACCCATAAGAGCATGAAAGAATTTATTGTCCGCATCACAATCCTTGCGTAACTTATATTTGAGCTTTTGGCCGAAGAATGACTTTTTTGCCAATTTGAGATTAACCACCCGCAGCTTCGAGTCGCTTCTTAGATTCTAGGAGCCGATGGTTTGCCTTGTCGTGCCTGGAGAGCTTCTGGCGAAGCTACGGATCGATTCAGCTCGAGCTACCCACTCGAAATCCGACCGAAATGTAATCTATTCAAACCCTTAAGAGGCCATTTTAAGAGCTGTAATTTTTGACAAAGAATAAACATAGGAGAGCCCCGAATATGTTCTTACCAATGATGGCCAACAATGTGAAGGAAGTTATCATGAGAGGCCCACATGTTAAAGACTTTAAAGCATTTTGGTTTCAAAGTAAGTCGGTCGTTCACTTGAATAAAAGCCGCCGCATGATCGCAGAAGGCTCCTAGTAGGGATGAAGTGGACGTAAACGGGAAGCATAAGTGATGGCTGAGGGGATTGACTACGTATCCGTCAAGCTTTGTCCAGACAAGTGCCTTTATTCCAAGTAAACCGGTCGCCGCAGTAATGGAGATCGGACAATCCGAGGTCTAGGTAGCATGATCTAAATTTCCAAGTCTCATAATTGGAAACCGCTCCCTCCATTACACTTGTCATTTTATGAGAGAATAGAGTCGAAGTCCCCCATAATAATCCATGGGCACCGAGGAGACCACATGCGAAGATCATCCTAGAGCACACGCCCGGTAATAATGGTGTGATACCCATATACAAAAGTGGCTTAAAAACTAATCTGCGTACAAGACTCGTGGATATGGATATTGAGCCCTTGTAGAGAGGCAGATAGCAGATCAATCGAGATTGTTGTAGGATTCCAAAAGAGATCAATGTGAGCATATAGAGCCATATCAGCATTCGATAAAAAGTTCCAAGTTCGAAGCCGAAGCTTATGCATTTGAGCAAGCTTCGAGGGATCTAAGCTTTGTTTCGACAAAAACACACACATCCATTTTTTTTTCTTTACGAGGCCTACTACCTCATGTTGTTTCGAGGGACTATTAAGACCCCCGATATTCCAAAGATAAATTAACATCAAAGAGCAAGGGTGGCGACCACTCGACTACCTCCGCCCTTATTCCGCAAATGCCCACTTCGAGTGGTCATCCTTCGAGAGGCCTTATCAAGCCTCATCGCCGTACGATTTAGGTCGCTCGCCCTATGAGTAGTGGAAGGGGGACCCACTACACTACTATCTATTTGAGATCTCATTTCGGCTTCTACTAATAGTCGAGCCACATCCAATTTATCCGTAGCCATATCATGGCTACCACTAGGGTTAGCAGCCTCAGCATTCGAGCTACCCGGTCCGCTCGTGGCTTCCATCATTGGCACAAGTAGCAACAATTTCAAGCGTAGAAGCCTTACCCTTCCTAAGGCCCCGACAGGATTCTCTCGATTGGATAAGGATTGAAAGGAGGGTCTATGAGCCGCTTAGTGTGCCCCGAAGAACTACGATTGGTTGGTTCACCCCCGTTGAACGCAAGAGCAATCTTAGAGTTCATAGGATCATCTCGCTCGGCTAGGGCAAGGGCGTAATAAGCAGCAACAACAGGATTAAGCCTTTGGAACACACCGGCCCTTACCCGATTTGTACCAACCATTGTAGAATCCGGCCCCTTGGTATTCCCAAGTAAGAGCGGAGGGTAGTTTTTTACACCTCGAAGTAAAATGCCCCAAGCATTCGCAAGATTTATAGTGAATAGGTAAGGTCTCATAAACCACAGCTTGGTGAAGTCCGGCCCCATTCGGCAGATCAAAATTGATCATCCTTGGCGTGTCATCCATAATGTTCAACTTAATTAAGACTCTAGCATACGAGATTCTATCCATAAAGGTTATCAACTTGTCACAATGGATTGGTTTACCCTAGCAGACTCGAAATTTTTGATAAACATGCAGTGGACCATCATTTGAGAGGGAGATTAGGGAACTTCACCCACACCGGAACCGTGGACATATGCCCCATGAGAGAAATCAAAAAATTCCGGCATAGACCTTAAAATCAAAGGCCTCGCCATAAATCAAGTATGGACCTCCGTTCAATACGACTAGCTATTCCTCTTCAAAAACAAATTTGTAGACTAACTAGCCCGAGTCATGTATGGACAGAGAGGTCGAACATTTCTAAGAGTTGCTTATAATAGCATTAAGAGCCCGAAAGCCAGGAGATTTTTCAGCAACATAACCAACCAAACAGAGTTTTCATAAATCACAATTAGAGTCCTCGACTAGCAAAGTACATGTTTTCAATTTTGTAATACCCGAGAAGTGGGTGAGTTTGGGATAGAATTCAGGACTACGATCGTGAACAAATAAATCCCTCTATTTACTTACTTGGGGGAGGCACCGACCGGTGAAGAGGGGGCGCTTCGCCATTAGCAATGACTCGCAGGCGGAAGAGTATCATCTTTAGGGAGACTTGGGCCATTAGCGCCTAGGGGTTGCCTATGCGATCGTGAGGCAATAGTAAGTGACCGGCGAGGGGGAACGTCCGACATCTAAACAGAGGCATGAATTTGACAAGAGTCACCAGCCTTCCCTAGGACCTAGAGTAGGAGGAGACGTTCGAAGAATTTTGACTAAGAGCTTGGCTTCCTATCCGAATATGAGAAATCTACTACGTCTTCACCGAAATCTTCTTTGTCCGTACAGGTCCTCAACCTCTACAAACTTATAGGCGTACTCTAGGGAGCAAGATTTGTCAATGAGGGCTCTACCGGAAGTGCCACACTCGGCAGCTAGGGTTTGGTGCGGGAGGGTGGATGGGAGACCCAAATTTGTCGGAGGAGTGATAGGTGTAGAAGGAGTCGCTACGGAAATGATGGGGTCCTCGCAGTCATGCCAAACAATAGCTTTAGAAGGGTTGGTGACGGATTTGTTTTTCTTCTTTGCCATTGGAGGAAGAGTGAACAGATTGGGGAGAGAGAAAATGGGGAAGGGAGTGAGTGGGCAAAGAAGTGGCATGGGGGAGGAAAGAAGACAGAAACTAATTGTGAAGATTAGATCTAGGGTAGTCTAAATAGTAGCGAGCCGCATCTAGTAGGGAAAAGCTCTATGAAAGAAGGAGAACGTCTCTCTCTTCTTTCTCACTCCTACCGAGAGCTCTTTCTTCCTAAAAGCTCTTTCTTTTTTTTGATTTAAATGTAAGTGTATATGTAACCCCTGTAAAAACCCTTATCCGTAACGCGACGTGTATTAGAATAATTCTATATATATGTATATTAAGAGTAAGTATAATTATCATTTCATCATGAGTAGAATTATTTGAGGCGTTTAGAGTAATTTTTGGGTCAACCTTAAAGAATGAAAGTTATTCATCTATGTGTTTAATAGGCCTGTATAACATTTTATAATATTTGGACCTATAAATTAAGAGTTATACCAATTATAGTGAGGCTTGTTTCGAAATGCATTCTCGCTGGAATTTTGGGAGAAGAATCGCCCGAATCTTGTGAGATTTATTTGATGCTGTTAGATTGATTTTTGAGACAAACGTAAAGAATAAGAGTTGTTTTTCTATGTGTGTACTAGCTCTCTATAAAATTTCATAAATTTTGGATACATAGAGAAAGAGGTATGCACATTTTAGTATAGATGGGCTACGAGGAAACACTACTGGAATTTTGGGGGAAAAAGAAATTTTGAATTTTTAAAAATGGAAAATTCTGAATTTTTATGAAAGAAAGTAGTTTTAGTTACTTGAATTAAGTTAATTAATGATTTTAATTAGTCTAAATTTTATATAGACACCTAAGCAAATGCAATAAATGAATTTAATGCCAACTCACCCATTATGGATTCCAAAGCGACCAGCCTTTCCTCATGACTCACCCATAACCTTTACACCTTATCCCATTAATTTCTAACACTTGTAGCTGAATGATAGTAAGTATATATATATATATAGCAAGTGTTAAAATAGGAGAAAAACTTTAGCAACCCGTAGGTACCAGAAATTGAGAGAGAAAAGGCAAGAAGGAAAAGAGAGGAAGAAAAACGTGAGGAGAGAAAGGAAAGGAAAGAAAAAGAGGAAGGGAAAAAGGAAAGAAAAAGAGCTAAGAAAACTAGAATCAAACCTAAAAGAGGTAAGTAGGTTTCATTTCTTGGCTGATTAATGTCTTAAATTATTTTTTTTAAAGTTATTTTGTTAGTATTTATTTCATGGGTTGTAATAATCTTCAATGATTATATGCTTGATGCTTGGGATAAATCTATGTATGGATGCCTTGTTGTGATGATTTATGATGTTATGATTTTTTGAAAAATTTCCAAGTATGTGGTGATGGGTTGGATTGAACTTGGACTAAATTTAAGTGAACTAAAACATGTTTAAAATTGGCTTGGAATGAACCAATAAATTAGTGTTAATAAGGAGTAAATTCTGTTCGAATTTTGGGGTGTCTATTCAAAGATTTTAGATCGATTGCTAGGTGAAACTTAAAGCATAAAAGTTGTTCATCTATGTTTCAAATAACTTCCTTTACAATTTCGTGATCATTGGATTAGTGTACAAAGCGTTACACCCGATTTAGTATGGATAGCTCTAGATAAACTACTATTAGGCAGATTGCTCCCTAAGTTTCAAAAATTTGTAATTAATTATGTACTTGGTATTTAGACCTAATTTTTGGATATGTTATAAATAAATATGTCTAGTATCTAAAATAAAATGAATAAGATTTAATTATGTTCTGAAATTAGAAAATTATTTACTCGATTAGGAGTTGCCCTGTAATAAACCCTAAAACCAAAAAAATTAGACTTTGACAAAATTAATAGGTTTGGAATAAACTAAATGAGCTTGGACCAAATAAAATGGAATTAAATAGAGTCAATGGACCTAGGATAAAGTTAACGAGGCTTGGATTAAAGTAAATGGACTTGGACCTTCTTTTAAATATTAATGAACCTAATGAATTATATTAATGAGCGGAGATTGTGTTCTCGCTGTGGGTATCATGATTGGTATGTGAGCAATGGATAAATTTCGAGTGTGGGTTGGATCGTGAGTATGGCATGAGAATGAAGGGTTGGTACTCGAATTTAATTGAATGTGATTAAATATATCATCACGTGCATCATGTGCATAGCGGGTGGTTTAAGACAAGTCAATTGATTGAGAAATGGTTTATACATCTAGGTTTGATAACCTAATTGGAATAAATGGGTATTAGTAGTCCAAGTACTCTAGGTCGTATGCCTACACTATTAGACGATGGATTTTCGCTAATAGTAGTTACAACGAGGGATAATTCCGTTGTAACGGAAGATGATCCGAGGATCATCTAGATGAAATCAAGTTGTGTGCTTACACCGTTAGATGATGGATTCTCGCTAACGGTAGTTACAACGAGGGATAATTTCGTTGTAGCAAAAGATGATTTGCGGACCACCCGGATGATAAATAGAGTAGCTCGGCTAATACCTGTGGTACCCGAGATTACATATCACGTGCATCACCCTACTTACCGAGCTTCGGCTCACCATGTGGTTATTTTTTTTATGTCTTGACGGAAAAAGGACAAGTTGGTACGGATGCGGCTGGCTCCTCCTAACCGGCTCATGTGAGGCACCATATAGTAGTTTTTATTTTGTCCGTAAATTTGGGGTATGGAGTTCGTGAGAAATTGAATATTGCTCGTAATTTTTTATTAATGCATTTAATTATGTTATGTAAATTTTATCTTAAGGAGTTATATATGTAATGTACTCGTTAAAGTCCTAAGAATATCATAAGAAAACTACTTAGAGTTTAGGATATGTCGGCGTAACACGCTTCGTCCGATACCTTACTTGGGTAGTAGAAATACAATCGGGGCGGGGCGTTACAAGTATAAATCAAAAGTAAAACCAACTGGAGAACCAGCAAGAGTAACATATACAAGATTTACAAAAATGGGAACAAGCTCCCATGAACTTGAAACAGTAGCTATAACTAGATGGTTGCTCAAGGAATCAATCTAGCAGAGATTCCAAGAAAAACCAACCAGAAACAAGAAGAGAACTAGCTGGAACCCTTTACAAAAAGCTCAACATCTAACAAAATCATGGCCGAAAGGCCATAAAAGAGTATAGCCTAACCATGTACAAAAGCAACTTTGAATACAGGAAAAAAACAACATTCAGCCTAGACAAGTAGCACATGTCCTAGCCATTGACAAGGTCGGGAAGGGCAACGAGTCTACCCTAACAAGCATAGCAGGACCGGGAGCTTAGAGGGCTAGCAACAATAGCTCGGCTTGATCGCGCAGCCGCACTCGAAGACGGATCCGGGAGGCCTTAACGGTCGAGTAGGCCTACCCACCTAAAAGCTCTTTCTTGATTCTATGGGTGGTGGTCCATGGCCGTTATTATCGATGGAGCAATTTTTCCGGTTAATTCGTTAACGAACGAGACCTCGACTCGCTAACTAGCTATGCGGAGGTGACCCTCTGCGCCGGCTTCTTAGAGGGAATATGGCTTTCCAAGCCAAGGAATTTTGAGGTAATAACAAGTCCGTGATGCCCTTAGATGTTCCGGGCCGTACGCGTGCTACATTGATGTATTCAACGAGTCTATAGCCTTGGTCGATAGGCTCGGGTAATCTTTGAAATTTCATCGTGATGGGGATAGATCATTGTAATTGTTGGTCTTCAATGAGGAATTCCTAGTAATTTCATCATGATGGGGATAGATCATTGTAATTGTTGGTCTTCAATGAGGAATTCCTAGTGATGGGGATAGATCATTGTAATTGTTGGTCTTC